GCGGAGAAGACTGATTCTGGACCTCAGGAACCTCAAGCTCCTGCTGTAGCTTTGGCTGGATCTGGCCAGGAAGGCCATGGAGCATTGGTAAAAGTGAAAGTTGAACGGGACGCATCGGCTTCAGAGTCTCTTCCAGCTAAAGTGGTGAAAACTGATTTGAAGAACAAATTAAAGAAGGAGACATCAGAAGCCTGTCCTGCAAAAAAGGAGCCATCCAAAGCCACTCCACCAGCACCTCTCAAACCAGAACAGGCTGTGGACGCACCAGTGAAAACAAAAGTCCAGCCAGGATGTCCCGAGGTTGCTGCATTGATGCGCCAATACTCCCGAAAGAAGGTCATCAAGGTGGGCGAGCACCTGGACTTGGGAGATGCTTTTCTTTTCGCGGAAAAACGAGGCAAGAAGTTGGGCCTAATCGTGGACAACTCACCCAGACAGCTTGAGATTTCAGATGTGAAATCATATTTGAAGACTGTGCCATTCCTGCAAGCAGAGCTAATCTCTCAAGGCTTTGATCGCGCAGATGCAGACAGCTGGCTGCTGTTGTCAGTTTCTGCAGATTATGACCCAACGAGTGCTGTCCGCAATCATTGGATGCCGTGCTTTACTTCGGAGCAGTTGTCAGCTTTGGGACAAGACTTCTTTCTGTTGACTTCAGTGGTCGAAGCAGAGACACGGAAGATGTATGTGCACTCTCACAATGAGTTGACAAAATGGGAGCTAGGAGATCCATCATCCGATGTGGACACTGATCCCGAAGTAGCTGCAGAAATGATGGAAGGCCTGAAGCTGGAATGCAACAGGCACTTGGTCCAAATATCGGGTCACGGGTCACCCACAGATGTGATACCAGTTTAATGTCTAGAAAATCATTTTCTAAACATTCTGCGAGGGTATCCCAGGTTGAAGCTGAAGATGAGTTCATGTTTGCATATGTCTGCAATATCCCCGGCTTCCACCATCCTCAAACTTTTTAATTTTATAGAGGCCAACCTCTTTTTGGATACCTCAGAGTGTAATTGTGTAGAAAGATGTAGAAAGCAAACTTTCCACACCAGGCTGCAGAACTATCTGGATCTGCTTGTCCACTGCAGAAAGCTTGGTGTGGCAGTGGTGGATGTCCCTGGAGACGGCAATTGCTTGGTGTGGAGCCTTCTTTCCTTAGTCCTTCAGAATCCCAACCTTGAGCTTGACCACAAAAAAGGCATGAAGTTGCAGAAGTCTACCCGGACTCAGATGGCGAGGATGTGGGAAGATGTTGCAGGAGACCTTCGGTGGCAGAATATTTGGAAGTTCTTGTGTCATGACAAGCCTGAACCACCTGATGAACATTCTCATCCGCCTGACTCTCAAGAAATTGTGACTCCCAAGAAAGGAAAAGCATCCAAGAAGCCTGCAGCTGATGAAAATCATAGAGGCCTCACAGACTTGGACAACAAGCTCTCACCAATTGCAAAGCCAAACAGGCCCAAGCGGATTGGAGCTGACGGCAAACCCAGAGCAGTTCCAGTAGCGCTTCCAGCGCCAAAATCGCCTCTCAAGTTCAAGACGCCTGAAGATGCTGCTGCTCAGTCTCTTGTAGAGCCACCAATGCCAGATGTTGAAGACCTCTTCACCATGGCCATGGAGGAGAACACGAAAAAGCGCCCTCAATCAGACGCAGAGATGGCGGAAGATGACCAGGAGAGATTGGACAGCAAGAAAGTTCGCAGGTCTGAGCACAGGAGATCTTACAAGACAGCTCCTGTCACAGAGAACAAGAGACGAGAGGCTCTTGTCAAATCATTTCTGGCTAAGCACAATCTCACCTATGGCAGGTATATTTCCTTTCACCGCATGAGTGCAAGGGTCCGAACATCCGCGGGATGTGAAACAGGGGGGCCTCCAGATGGTGGATATGTGGCTCTTCGCAAAGCTCTTCAGCAAGCACAATTTCCCAAACGCGGGATTTGCTGTACTTGGCTTCGCGAAAACGGAGTGACTGTCGACAAACTTGCTGATTTGTTTGATGGTGCAACTGCACGGGATTCCGAAGAGTTCTCTCTTGTGCCAACAAACACGGACACGGAGGGCACACACAAAAGGAAGCGAGATGATGCCGAAGAGTTGCAAGCCATCAAGGACTATATCGAGTCTGTTTCTGAACACATCCAGCTGGTCGAGAACGGCACGGGTGAGCTTCGATACCGCTGCCGCCTGTGCACCTCCAAAAATCATCCGCAAGGGAAGGACAACATTCTACAAAGAAGAGTTCTATCTTCTGTGAAGCATTTCATCAACACGCACCTGGGCAGTGTCAGACATGTGCAGAGATTGGAACAAATGGACATTCAAGCTGACACAGATCAGTCCAATAGGGCTGGTGAACAAGTTCCATGCGAGGGATACTGTGTCAGCAACAGCGGTTCCAGTGGAGTTCTTCATTTCTACTTGGAGGAATTCAAGTTGTGGGCTGCTCATAGCAAGCTTGATGGGGTGGTTTCACACAGCTATTGGCAGGATGCGGGCTTGGGTCATTGGTATCTCCGCCACAAAGATTGCAGCAAGGTGACTATGAAGATGGAATCTGATCCTTATCCGTGCTGTTCCAAATGCCAAGACCTTGGAGATCGAAAGAAAGTGGTGAAGGTGGTCCTACGCTTTGTCTCCAAATTCTACTCGGCATTGCTACTGAACAAACGGCTCTTTGCATGCCCAGAGGAGGTGTCAGAGTTTGAGAACGTGATTATGTCAAGTGCATTTGGTCGGAATCATTCTCAGCACTGGAAGAATCAGACTGACACAACCTTGGTGGAACACCAACGAATGGTGAGAGCAGCTTGGTCAACGGTGAGCCCAGACAACCGGACGCAGGCCATGGAACACTTCATCAGCGCAGTGGTGACCCCTGTCCTGAAGATCAATGTCTCCGCTGCCAGTCCACACATGACGAACCTCTCCTCTCAGTTTGTTCAAGCCCTTGCTGGAAGGAAATTGAACGTGCCTTGGTATACCTGAAATATGCTTGGCTGGGGAGTGTGGGTAGTTGGCAGACTCTACAACATCAGATTCCCTGACCCTCTGTTCAAAAAGTGTTCTACAAAATCATATCACAGGGTGATTGTATACCGGGTTTATAGGGCATGATTTCCTAGAACTTCCTGTAGGATCCTGTAGGTGTGTTCTACAAAAATTGATTCTTCAAGCTTCTTGGACTATGTCTTG